ATGTGCAACAGGATGGGAAGGTTGAGTCAGAGAGAATGAGGGGTAGTAGATATTAGACAAGTGCACGGGCCGATGGAGGCAGTGAGGCAGTTCCGGTGCCTGATGTCCGTGGAAGTTGCAAGTGCAGGGTATTTTTGTTCCTTTGGTAGGAGTACTGCTTTGTCCGACCAGGGAATCTTTGTGCAGTTTTTTTTTTTTTTTTGAATTTGGACCATTTCTCGATTTATGCGTGTCCTCCTTACTTGCGCAGGGGCCATGCTAATCTTCAGTCTCTGTATCGTTCCAATTTTAACAGATGTCCCGAAGGACGTTTGTGCGGATTTTCATTTCGCCAGCAGAGGGGTACATCTATGACTTGTTTCGTGAGGCTTTTTTTTTTTTTTTTTTTTTTTATATAACAAACTCGATTCCTTTTCGATTCAAAGCATTGAGGGCGGGATACATCTAGTATGACTTGTTTGGTGAGTTTTCATCCAGAAAAGAATGGAGATGTGGGGAACTGAAAATTGCATGCTCTGTTTCATTCGAAGCATTGAAGGTAATTGAATTGGTTGGGCTTAAAGAATTATTAATAAAATCTCATGCCCCCACACCCCCGGTCTGCCTGCACGTGATACGTGGATCTTCCCCCCTCGTATACCTGCGTAGTGCAAGGGTTTTGTCTTGGCCATTGGCAGTCTGGTAAACGTTCAAGTCCCGTAAAAGTTTGATGAAAGCAACCGTCACAATCATGCCTTTATAGTGGAGCTCTTTTTTTCTTTTTTTTTTTCTTTTTTTTTTTGGACCATTTCTCGATTTATGCGTGTCATCCTTGCGCAGGGGCCATGGTAATGCTAATCTTCCCTGTATCGTTCCAATTTTAACGGATGTCCCCAAGGATTGGAGCTCTGTTTCCCCTACATTGCAAAACAGAAATTACACCCTTCCCTCCGGGGTCGGTATCGCCCACCTGCAGGTTGGGAAGCTTCAACTCGGGATGGCTGCTACAGGGTTCCCTCTAATACTACAATGATAATAAAACAGCCTGAACGGCCCCTCTCTCTCTCTCTCTCTCCCTCTCTCTGTGTGTGGGGGAGGTAGGCAAATGATCGAAATGAATCTTCCCGACTTCTGGCGGGAGATTCATTCTCATTTAGAAAGTCCGATATTCTTCGATGTTGATGTTGAATGCGCGGGGGGGAGGCGACCCCCCCACTGATAATCAATCAATCAATCAATCAATCAATCAATCAATCAAGGATTTTTTTTATTCTTTTTCCGTTTTTTAATTTTATTTTACAATCAATCGATCAATCAATCAACTAATCAATCAATCATTGAATCCATCGACCAATCAATCAATCAATCAATCAATCAATCTTTTTTTTTTTCTTGTTTTTTTTTTACACCCAGATTTATAAATTAAAAAAAGTTCTTTTTTTTAATTTTTTTTGAATGGGGGGGTACCCCCCGACGCCCGACACCCCCCCAGCGCATTCACCCCCTCAACACCCCCCCGGAAGGCCACGTACGGGGGGCCCAAAGTCCGTACGTACAGGCCGTACGGTGGGCTGGGGGCCCGTACTTACGGTCGTACGGGAGTACATACGGCCCGTATACGTACGACCGTATACACAGATCCACTTCATACACATATCAGAGTGGGAGGAGAGAAATCACCATAGGTCCATAGTCCATCCATTATAGCAGAAACATAACAGAAAGAAGGTGTGAGGGAGGACAGACGTAGATCAAAAGAGAGAAGAAAGCAAAAGATAATTACACAAGAAAGTCTGGTGATCTTGAGGAGAAATTCCGGCTTAAATGCCGGGTAAATGGAACTCACTCTTGAAGTCTAGACTCGAGGCAAAAGAGGCGCATCCACCATGAAACTCCACTGAGGGCCCAGGCCATACATTCACTCAACTTCCGATTACGATCCTCACACAGGCATTGACGATCCCCGTCGTCACGTGCTATTCCCACCATAGCGATCGTCACCCCGCCAACTCAGCCTCTGCAGTGTCTTGCCTAAATCCCACAGTCCGTCGGGCAATCCAGTGCACAGCCGGCATTGCCCCGACAAGGCTACAGTCAGCCCGTTAGGACTTTTCGACTCGCACTTTTACTCGTACCATCTAGCCACTGCTTCCTGGAAACAGACCGATGAGTTGAGAGAGAGAGTTTTTCGAGCGCGCTTGCGAAATTTATAGTTGAGGGAGGAGATAGATGCTAGGAAAGATTAAGACCGAGGTAGAGAGGGGTAAGGGAAGGCTCAGGGATAATCGCCAGAAGAAAGCCATCCTCTTGAGCTCGGTCGTAGCCAATCAGAATCATCGTGTAACAAGAATTTCCTTGTTACACGGCGCTTTTCCTTGGCTAGAGGGGAGGGGGGGGGGGATCGACAGGGTATTCCGGCGTAAGGATTAGAGCGAGGAGAAGAAGGGCGCAAAGGATAGCGCAAAACAGGACCAAGATTCAGACGATCAAGAAGAGAAAAGGCGTAAGAGGCAAGGGAGAGATGGAAAAATTGTTACAGAGAGAGAAAAAGCACGAGCGAGAAGAAGAGAGTGTCGAAGGTAGCGAGGGAAGCGGGAAGGGGGGGGGGAGTAGCTCGCATGCATGGCGTCGACGAGAAAGCAAAAAGGGCACCAAAATAGTTACAGCTTGCTTAGAGTCCTACGCTAATTCAAAATTGAAAAAACACCATATCTGCGCGTAAAGTGAACACGCGAAAAAAGTCTTATGCCAATCCAGATTCTCACGAAAATTCCTAGAGTTTTCCAAGCGGAGTCGAGAACAATCATGCACAAGAAAGGACACGTCAAGTCCGCTTATTCCATAATTTCTAACCGTCGAACCAAATCCCTAGAGCGCTCAATAAGGCTCGCGTATTTCCCATGTATTTCCTGAACTGCAAAAAGATGGAACTCCAAAGATCGGCCCAAAGTCACGAAGGTCCTGAGAGGGACGGGCCTTTTTTATTACAAACAATGCGCATTAATCCATGGAAACACAAAAAGGGGCCTTTTCGGCCTGTTTGCAAAAGACAGGAAGGGGAAGATGAGCGGTATGACGAGGGAAAGGGACAGTGGGATTTGGAGGAGAGGAGAGACTACCGCCTATCATGGCCTATGTTTTAAAGACTGGACAAGAATTGAACCCTCATTCCCACTCCGCCACCCCTCGGACTTCCCCAACCCCTTCCCACCCCATGCCCTCTCCCTGGCTGAAATCCTGTCCTAACTGAGGAATCATGTTAGCCCATCTCCTGCTAACCCATACTTAGATAAGAAATGGCCCTCCGGAGCCCCCCGGGGAGGTTATTCTTTCTTCTACCAAAATACCCAATTTTTTTTCGTTTTTTCATGCAGCTTGAGCATGCTGGGTCAGTGAGTATGAGGCCCTAGTTAGGGGTGGGAGGAATCAGTGTGCAGCGCCAGGTATTTGCCTCTCTAGGGCCCTGCTCAGTCAATCCCCTTGACTTCAGGGTAATTAATGATGGCAGCCCCCCCCCAACCTTTTTCGGATGTAACCCAACATTCAATTTGTATATGGGACGCTGGACCCGTTTTCTAGTAGCCTAGCAGGTGATGCCCCCCACCAATAGATGGGGCCTCCCCCCAGGTGCTAGCGGTGCCTGCTCTTATCAGCACCACTAGCAACAGTAGGGGTGTTGTTTCAAAAAAAAAAAAAAAAAAAAGAGGGGGGATGTTTTGTTTTGCTCAACACAAACAGGTTGTGGTGGCTCTGGCCCGATCTCCATTCTGGGGAGTGTCAGTCCGGTTCCTACTCCACCGGCAAGTCAAAATTTTTAAATAAGACAGAGTCGTGCTTCCTTCCGTGTGCCCCAAGGATCCCCATAAAGTTTTTGTCTACCATGTTTCGCATGATTGACTGTCAGCTTCCCATGCTTCTACCTTTCCTATGAGGTCGTACTGGATTGGGACTCGTTGTTCTGTTTTTGTACTCAGACATGCAATCCACAAGTTGTGTCAGTCTTTCCATCGTATGTGGGAATGCATTATCTTCGCAATGGTTTGCTTTAGTTTTTGTTTTTTTTTACCATTTGTCACTTTATGCGTGTCTGTGACCAGCGAGAGGCAAGCCAACCTTTCCTATTTTGTTCCGTTTTCAACACATGTCCCCAAGTACTGTGATTGTTGTTTTTCGTAGTCCTATCACAGACAAAAATAAATGTTGTTGCCGGCTCAGAATCGTGTGTACATCTGCTGCTGGGTAGAGGAATGATATGTGGTAATTGGACGCGGGTGGACAGACATGATAGAAGGGAAAAACAAAAAATTCAATTTCTCCGACAGTGTCACAAATGCAGTCTTGCAAAAGAGAAAGAAAGTCGAGTTCTTGGTCACAGACAAGGTGACAGACACAGACATGCAAAGAGAAACAACAAAAACACAAAGCCGTTTTATTCGATCTACATTTTTTGAGCTCACAAAAGTTGAAGTGATGGCAGACAGTGCCAGGATAACAAAATGCCACATCATCTTAGAATTCGAACACACGGCAATCCAAATATTGCTGGCCAGGAACACACCCCGGTGTCTGCAACCGAAAACGTTGCCAGTTGCAATCCAAAAATTGTACTGTCGAAAGCTACGGGCACTACTCCAAAACTTTTGTCTTCAAACGACAGATGGTCAAACCATAGGCGACCTCTAACTGCCCGGCCTCGAAACGGATCACGTTTACACTGCCGAGCAATATAAAAATAGAAATAAAAGGAAAACAGATTCAAAACACGTCATTGCTGCAACGGAGACTGCCCGTCGAACACCGACAGTCCAAAATGCTCCCGTGCAAGTCCTACAGCAATGAACGAATCCTAACTTCAAAACCAAAACCTTCCCCCCCCAGTCAACCCGCAACCCCCCCCCCCCTCCTCCTTCCCGAGCGCCGAATGAAATGGGACATCTGCAAAACGACAGTCGCTACGCGGACGCAACGCATGAAACTGTCTTTACGAGCGCAGAGTTTCCACCTAAATAGAAAAAAAAAAAGAAAAAAAAAACAGTTTATCCTGCCCGTTGTTACACATTATCCTAAATACAATCCGCCAATTTGCAGAGTGGACGCCACATCATGCATCTGGGTCCATAGCCATTGCCCTCCTTAACTGCTCAGCAACAACGCTCACCTGACGGCGATTGGCCTCGGGGGATAACCCGTCGATGGTAGACGGTCTGCGGATCGAAGGGGGCGTGCCGACGCGTCGGTGGCCATGCGAACGTGGTGCACTCTGAGATACCCTTATCCCAACAGAGACGACGACACTCGCTACTCCTCCTTCATACGGTCGAGAGGCGGCTCTATGATCGCCACTCAGGGTACATCCTTGCACCTTCGACGAATTTTCGTCCTGTCCTTCGACAGCGGTCAGCAGGTGCTGCAGCCGCAACACCTCCTCCCGCAAGACTTCGACGGTGCGGTCCGCGCCCTCCGCTTTCGAAACCGCCATGGCCTCTTTCACATTCGCGTTGTCAATTTCCGTGGGCAGCCGCTTCATCTCCTCCACCATCTTCGAAACTCGTTCGAACAGAACGCCCCGCTTTCTTGCCAGGTCATGGGCTTGTTCTATCAACCTCCTGTGGGTCAACGCAAAATCCCCAGCCATGTCCACAATGTCCGATATGTTGCCGATGGGATTCGACGACATCTGTGACTTGTGTAAGCAGTCCTCCGTCACAGATCCTGCAACAACGTCAGCAGGCAGAATTTCGTGAGATCCACAAGTCAGAGGAGTTGCCTTATAGGGCGCTGTTTACCCCCATCATCAGCATCACTACGTTATCATCCAAGGTGTTCGTCATTTGCACCATCAACATCTATCTGAGCGTCGTCATCATTATTATTATCATCATCATCATTATCATCATCTCACCATCATCATCATCACCATTATTATCATCATCATCATCACTATCATCAATTTGTAATCATAGGGCGCTGTTGGTACTGTTCTTCAGTACGATCAGCATTACCATTTTGTCTTCCTTTTCATCATTACTATCATCATCATCAGTTTGTCATCATTAGGTGTGGCGTTTCAAGGTCGTGCTCGTTTTTCACATCAGCAGGTGAGTTTGGTCATCATCACCATCTTCAACGTCATCATCTTCAGGATGCTGTCCAATCGCCATCGTGTTCGTCTTTCACATTAGCAGGTGAGTTTGGTCGTCATCATCATCTTCAACGTCATCATCTTCAGGATGCTGTCCAATCGCTATCTGAAAAACCAAAAAAAAAACTCTCATCTACCTTTCTCTCCATCATAATCCTTTGAAATTTCCGATTTTTCCACTCATGTCTTAAAAAATTGATCTGATGGGTGTGCTTCAGTCGGGATAGGGCTTATGTGGTCACGGTTTGGACTCTTGGGGGCAGGGTGGGGGAGGTATTCGGGAGCCCTACTCTACAGGGGCACTGCAAGGTGTGAGGCGGCTGCCCTGTCGGGAGCGGGGCAGATTTGTGGTTCGTCCTTGTTTGGGGCCGGGGTGGGAGAGTTGGTCGCCTTCAACCCCGGCGGGGGCAGACAGGGATAAGGGGAGGGTGAAGGTATCCTCTAGGAGGGAATTGGCTGCCTTTGTGGAAGGGAGAAAGGAGGGGGTCTGTTCCAGGTTGGGGCCGAGGAGGTTTTCCTCGGCTGTGGCAGCATGGGACAGGGTTTGTGGGGAAGTTTCTCTGTGCGGTGACTCGTGGAAGCTTCCTGGTTGGAACGTTTCTTGATTTCTTCTGTTATGCTTGGTAGTTTGAAGAATTTCTCAGGTCTCTGAGGGTCTGCCGGTGGTTTGTACGAAGCTGCACTGAATTCAGACCGTTATATTCAGAACCCTCGGTTGTTCAATGCCAGAACGACGCTGGCCGGAGCCGGGGTGATGCCCTGTAACTTGCCGACGGTGAGGGCACGAGGCCTTGTAGAGAGATCTGGGGATGCTATGCAGGGGGCATCCTAACGAACAACTGGGGGTTGCTGACACAGGACGACACTGGCCGGAGCTGGAGTGAGTCGCGTTGCTCTGTAACCTAGCAGTTAGGGGGCACGAGGCCTGGATGAGTTTGTCAGAGAATAAGTCAGTTTTGGTGAGCTTTGTTATGATCTGTTGGAAATCCCTTAGATACTTGAGTATTTGGAAAACTGTTGTGGATTTCAGGAGGTGTTTAGCAATTGTAGTATTTTCATCATCTCTCACGAAGAAGAAAACAGGGAGGCTATTATTGTTGATATAGCAGTCTTTTTCATACTAATCATCATTATCATCATCATCGTCATCATCATCATCATTATGATCATCATCACTATCAGCATTTGAACTACTATCTCATAGATTTCATAGAATCTGTAGAAGTTCATCATCATCAGCATTATCAT